ATACAAGTCTCTGATTAATTTCATGTGGAAAAAAAAGAAACAAAGTTTGTGGTAACTATAGGCCATTTCAAAGTATAGATTGCCAGCAAAAATGTGCATAGCGCTGTCGTGAGAGGATTAATTACTTAGATTAAATATTTTATAAGTTAAATAATGTGTGTTTTCTGAGACAAATTGGAATGTCATTTTCTCTCTCACTCCCCCCACCTTACCCAGCCCTAAGATAATGGAAAGGAGCTGTATTCGCTTCCTGTAAAGGAAGGCAAACTCATGTAATAGGGTAGGATGGATCGGGGTGGTAATTTCCATCTGCTGCTCAAATATATCTCCAGAGCAGCATTTCATCTTCTCCCTGTAAGTATTGCTCTAAGCTTTAAAGTCTCCATATTAGCTGTATGGCTCTTCAGAGAGCAAAAAAGTAATGGGCCCAGATAATTATTATTCCCTCTATTACTCTGTGGTAAAATTGAGAACAGTGGCTCTCAAACATTTTCGGCCATCTCCTCCTTTGCAAACAATCTCATTTATCTTCTGGTACACACAGATTGGCCCACCCCACGACTATGCTCAGACTTTTTTTTTCTGGGAGTTGCCAACTCCTCCTTCTCTTCTCAGTTTGCCACCCTTGCAGCATTTACCAGGAAAAGAGTGTTAGGATCATCCTACTCATGTGTAGGACCCTGGCAGAGACACAAGCCCAACTGGCATGTTCTCTCCCTCCTGGTCTGTCGTTCAGGAGCTTCAAAAGCTTTCTCCAGCCCGAACATCACAGCGACTGATACCAAAAGGTATTAGCACGCTTACGAACAGCAGAGTGTTAGCAGTTGGTGTAACAAACTCAGCAGCACAGCATTTTGGCTAATCTACTTTATTTACATATAATACACTCGGAGCATTCTGACTTAGCTCCTTCCTCTTTCTCATCAGACAGCAAAGAGAAAGAACAATAGTCCCACTTCACAGAACACAGTAACAACAAAACATCCTGTCTCCAACACTTCCCACACTGTGGAATGAAAACTTACACTGTCATGTGATAGAAAACAATCCCATGACTGCATGCACGGAGCAAGAATCCTAACAAAGAGGAATAATGATGTACACTAGGAATCGATGTCAAAGCAAGGCCAGCACAAGATATTTTGCTGCCTGAAGCAAAGGAGAAGATTGTGCCTTTTTCCCACCCTGCCTGCCATTCTATTATTATTATTATTATTATTATTATTATTATTATTATCTACAGTAACAAGGTTGTAAATGTCACCTAACACTTGGGATAGATACTTCTTTTAATTTCAGTTTCTCTCAGGTTCTAATTTTTCCAATATTAAATCCTGTCCTCCATATTTCCACATCAAATGGAGAGATTAAAAAAAAAAGTCTTCATGGAAATACATAGAATCATAGAATTGCAGAGTTTTAAGGGACCCAAAGGCTAATTTAGCCCAACCCCTGCAATGCAGGAATCACAGCTAAAGAATGGCAGACAAATGGCCATCCAACCCCTGTTTAAAAGCTTCATATGCAGGAGAGACCAATGTTCTGATTCTAGGGCCAGTCCATGCCAAACATTTTCTGCACACCCAATGCACATGTAAAGCACATGACTTTCCCCAAAGAATCCTGGGAAATGTAGTTTTGCTCTCACAGAACTACAATTCAAAGTACTAATACAGTTTCTGGGTTTTCCAGGCCAGGGTAATGTACTTTAAATGTGTTTTGGAAGTGCTTTAAATGTTTGGTGTGGATCTGCCTTCAGTATAAGGCAGTTCACAACTGAGGATAACAGGCAGTAACTTGCCAAAGCAGAACCTGTAATTAGTGTTTGCCTGGGCAAACATTAGGACCTGGAAGGTTGCTTCTCTCACAAATGGCACCCTAACAAACTGAGAGCTGCCAGAGATTTCCATGCAGCATTTATAAGAGGAGTCTGTTGTCACATGACATTACACAGATTTCTGTCAGGGCATGCTAAGCCATCCTCACATTCTCCACAGATTCATGACTGCTCGCAGTAATTCAAATCCTCTTCACAACTGGTAAGATGGTCCTGGCTTTGTTATTGTGCGATGATAAAATAGATGCAATGATTAGCGCTGCAAGGAAAAATTTAAGAGCTGAGGTGTTCAGGGGATAGGGATATCAGCTACAGCATATTCTTACCCTCCCCTTTACAAAATTGTGATTCCCAGGAAAAGTTCCCAGAAAAAGGAAGAGTGATTCAATGAACTTTTAAGCCAATTTAAACTCATAAAAAAGATGTGGTACTATCAAAACACTGTCATAACCAGGTATCTCTATTTTTTGTTATTGAAAATCTAACCCAACAGCATTGCTTCTGTGTCAAGCAACATCATCTCTCCTATGAACCAACAGAAAGGAAGAAACAATTTTCTCTTTTCACTATTTACAATCATCTGCAGCTTTACACATTTGGTTTCTCCTATGGGATTACTCCTGGATTCCCCCTTTTCCTGTTTGTCATCCTACTTTGTTATTGAGTGTAAAAGCTAGTGCTGAACTTTTGCCCTCCTAACATTTACAGTGGGCTTAAAAGGAATCCAGACAGTCCTGTCTGACACATTTTAAACTATATTCTCTTGGCTAGAACTCTTGGAAGCTACACACTTCTTTGTCCTGGCACAGATGAGACTGAAGCATTAATGAGTATTTTGTTCTTTTATTCGAAATGCAAAATGCTTGTCATTGTCTGAGAAATCACAGGCTGTAACCTGCCACCCCACTAACAGTGCAATCCTATATATTTTGTGCATGTCTACACAATGGGGCTTGCTCCTAAGAAAGTATGCATAGGGTGGAAGCTTGGCCCAGAGCAGTCTAGTTAAGTTTCATGGGACTACTCTTTTGTAAATAAGCTGAGTGTTGCAATGCGACTGCCTGAACAGGATCATTTTTATGTGTACTTCTTTCCTAGTTGCAGACATGCTAAAAAACTCTGGATTTGATTTTTGTCAATGGGTGACATGCCGGTTTTACATGCACAGTCAACATGGAACCGAGCTATATCTAGTCCTCCAAATGAGTTTCTGCACGATGCAAAACTTTTCAAACACCTGCTTATCACATTAGCACAGTGTAAGAGTCAAGATTTAACATTGACAGGCATCTGCCAAGGCCTACATCCACCACCCACCCCTGCGGGGAGGCAATGGCAATGGCGATCCTCCAAGTTCTGCTGCTCTTTTGCCTTGCTGTTTGTACTTGTCCACCTGAAATATATTCGAACACCACCTGTCTCTTTCTATGAGCAAGTGACCCATGAAACACAACAAGCTGACTTACAATAAGCTAGATGATTGGTTCATCTAACTCAATATTGTCTATACAAGTGTTTTTCAGCCTTGGCTCCCCAGATGTTACTGGGCCACTGTTCCTCTCATCCCCAGCCAACTTAACCATTAGTCAGGGGTGATTAGACTTATAGTTCAACAGCCTCTCAGGACCTAACCTTGAAGACCACTGCTCTGGCAGTAGTTCTCCAGGATTTCATATAGGGACTTTTCCCAGGCTTTATAATCCCATTTAAGCTTATGAGGTAGATGTGGTGGTATAAAACGAGGGTTGTAAGCAAATATCCCTTTTGCTATGAAAATCAAATCCAACAGCGTTGTTTCTTTGACAAGCATTGCTGGAGAGGCTGGGGATTGAATTTAGGACCTTTTGCATGCAGAGCATGTGCTTTAACCATTGAACCATCTGTGAAGGAGGGAAGAAGGAGCAAAACTTGTCCTCTCTCTTGGCAAGGTGGTGACAATAGGGCCCAGAGAAAGAAGCTGTCGGCAGCAACAGTGATAAGCAGGAAATGGGGGCCACATTAAGAGCATCTTTCCCAAGGACTACCCCAAAATGGGGAAGGGCACTGCAGCCATCCTTTACATGTGCATATTCATACCTTTCAGAAATCTTAGGCAAACATCTAAATCCATCACGTATGAAGATGTATAGTTAATAACACAGAAATACAAAGGTGGTAATGGTCCTGATCATTCTCCTGTTCTGGAAGGTAGGACCTGAAGCAATGCATTAAAGTTACAAGAAAGGAGATTCTGACTAAACATCAGAAAGAACTTTCTGGCGGTTAGAGCTGTTTGACAGTGGAATAGACTCCCTCGGAAGCCAATGGACATCTGGCAGGGATGCTTTAGTTGAGATTCCTGAATTGCAGGGGGTTGGACTAGATGATCCCCAGTGACCCTTTCAAATCTACAATTCTATGATTTTATGATTCTATTATATCCCTAAGTGCCCAAAATTGCCATGTCTAATTTTGTTTATTACGTCTAAGCCTTAACATTCATATTTTACCTGTTTAAAAAATGTATGGAATTGTTGTTTTCCTTTGTAGGCAGCCTGGCTTTCTGTTTCTTCCTAACGACTGAAAATCATGCCCAGATTCCTGTTTAATCCTTTCCTATTTGGCATTTGCATGCATCCTAAAGGAGATGTAAAAGACCATTTGAACAGCAAGCTAAAAGAAGGAACCCATCAGTAAGCCGAAATCAAAGAGGACACGCTTAGCCAACCATCACAATATTCACACTAAACTGCACCAACTGAAATGTGGTCTCTGTTGTTGCACACAGAGTAATGATAAAATGGAATCACAACTGAATATATTCTTAGCTATTAAATGTACTGGTGGAGGTGGGTGGGTGCACTATTTTAATGCTAGAGCAAAGAACTGAGCTGTAATTGAAAAAGTAGTAGGCAAATCTTCCAAAATAATTATTCTAGTTCTTTTCTTATAAAATATATATCTCCAGTATTCTGGTTTAGAACCAATGGGAAATCTGGGTTTTTAATATCATTTTAGATACTGGGTGTTTAATTTTCTCTAAGTTTTGTGTCCATGCTTTTGTCCATCTGTTGTTCCTGGGTTTGTGTTGGATCTCAGTGCTGGGAATGATGTTTGAAAGCTAACCGAGTGCTTTGTTGGATGTGAGTCAGGGTAGCAGTAATGTTGGATGGTGCCGTTCATATGCATAGCTCAGTCGGTAGTGTGTCAGACTCTTAATCTCAGGATCATGGGTTGGAGTCCCTTGGACAAAATATTGCTGCATTTCAGGAGTTTGGACTAGATGGCCCTTGCGATTCTATGATTCTACTGCAGCACTTTCATGAGCAATATTTCCTCTAACTCATAATTGATTTGTTTAAATGAGTTATTATTTTATTAAACTCTGGCGCGTGAGATGAAGCAGTTGCCTCCTTACAAATAGCTTATTACACGCTCAGAGCCCACCCCCATTCATCCCCCTTTTTACGTTTTCTCTTCAATCCTTCATGGCTGTTGACTATTCATCTCCAAATCCCTTTTCACATTAAACACAGACCCACACATGCACTGTCCCATTTTTCTTTTAAATAAATCATAAGTCCATGCGAGAAATGACTGGAGGTGTTCTTCAGAATTTGTAAACAGCATTAAAGTCTTGTGGGAAATGTCACAGAGCATTGGTCTGAATGTATTAAGCCGTTTCTCAGCTTCAATATATATATATTCCAGTGTGTATTTTGACAACACTTTTGCTCTCCAAAGGATTTTTATCCGCCCTTGATCACTTTGAACATTTTGAGGGCTTAGAGCATAGCTTTTGAGATGAGCTTCATGAATACCTTCAGAAATATTTATGTGTTTATTTTATTATTGTCTGCACCCTCTCATACAGATTGAGGGCCAAACTAAAAGTAATGCTAAATGAAAATTGCCCCTACACACAAACACACACAAAAGCATGCACACACACACACAGAGAGAGAGAGGGGGGGGGCTATTAGCCTTAGTGGGGAAAAGCTCCTATTGGTGCCAATGGGAGGTTTTTCCCTAAGGTTAATAGCAGTGTGGTTGTGATTTTCATTCACCGTCATGACTGGGGGCAGAGCATAAACCTCTGGGCTCCTCCAGATTTCTGTTTGCCCTGCCACTTCCTTCTGGGAAAACCCAATCTTTAGCACTGAATCAAAGCACATGTCAATTGGGTTTTTAGCAGATTGACATCCGCTCTGATTCAGCGCTAAAGTGCCCATTTTCCCAGGGAAAGTGTCACAACAAACATAGAACCACTTGGAGCCCTGCCCAGAAAGCACAGGGTAAGTGGGAAACTGCCCAGACCCATGATTTCTAAGCATGGGACAAGTGGAAGTGTGGGGAAGCCCTTACTGTGCACTGTGGCTACAATGAAATACAATGAAATATACTTCATTGACTATTTTGCCCCTTAAAGTGGTTAAGAATACTTTGAAACAGGGGCATGAAATAATAAATATAAAGATGAGAGTTGGTTAAAAAGCATTTTTCTCCAGCAAAAAATCAAAAACAAAAAAGTAAGTCAAAAAGATCAGTCCTGATTCAAAATGTCTTATAAGGATTTCCAGAACAAAACTCTAAGCAATGGTCAGTAAGGACATCTCTTTATGGTTCTCTGCATTATGAAGGTTGTAAAGTGGTGGCATATGAAAGACTGTGGAGGTTCAGACAAGATAGTTGGCATCTTTCTCATAATGACAACAGGGAGCTGTTCTGATGTCACTGAGCCCCCCCCCAAAGGATATACATTTCAGGAGAGGCCTGACTCCATGAAAGAAATTCCAGGAAGTCTACTGTAATGTGTTTGCTGCACACTTCAAGAATAAAATTGCTCATATCACCCTCATCCTATATGCCAAAAGCGCTGCAGTTTAGTCAAGATGTTTGTTCAAAGCACAGCTCTTCTTTGTGAGATGAGTTGTCAATTATTGTGGGTGAGGATGCAGATGTTTGGAAGAGTATGGTAGACCTTACTAGAGGTCTGCTCCATTCACACCCTTCATGACTGGTAGCCTTACAGCATCTAGCTGAGGGAAATGTTAGATGATCTCTGCTAGATCAAGCCACAGGGCCATCTAGTCCTGCACCTTGTTCTTATAGTGTCCAACAAGATACCTATGGAAGTCCCAAAGTAGGACCTGAATGCCCCATTTGTGATTCCCAGGAAGTGGTATTCAGAGGCACACTGCCTCCAACATTGGAGGGAGAACAAAGCCATTGTGGCTAGCAGAGTCCAAGAGGTGATTTATTACAAGAAGGGGAAGTCTAGTGAGGGCTCTTGGCAAGGGCATGGCTCAATTTTTCCATATTATAGCTTGTTTCAATATTTCCTACTTAGCCAAGAGGTGTTTGACCAGGTAGTTGCTATGCAAAACAAGGCACTTTGGGGCAAGACCCATCTTGTACCCATTTCAATTAGTTTTCAAGCCTTGTGTTTTCAAGCACCATGCTAGGAAAAGGACCATGTGAATACAACTCTCCTACTCCCACATCACCCTACCCATGCACTGTGATCATCTTTGCAGCCTTCCTCAGGGTGGCATCCACCATCCAAAGTGAAGTGGGTAATGACCATAGATAGGCCCTTCTCACTTGTGGCACCCCACTGATGGAAATCTCTCTGCACCACACAAAGACCTCTTTATTTTTCTGGGCTTTTTAACCTGATGAGATATCTTTATGCTGCTGTTTTTATTTCGCTGTTTTGCTATTGCTGAATTATTGATAGAATCAATCCTGTTTTCTGCTGAGGGAATAATGCAGCTCCCAAAGATTTGGATAGATGATTGATTGATAGATGATGATAGATGACTGATAGATGATAGATAGATAGATAGATAGATAGATGATAGATAGATATAGATATAGATATAGATATAGATATAGATATAGATATAGATAGATGATAGATAGATAGATAGATGATAGATAGATAGATAGATAGATAGATAGATAGATAGATGATAGATAGATATAGATAGATGATAGATAGATAGATAGATAGATAGATATAGATATAGATAGATAGATAGATGATAGATAGATATAGATAGATGATAGATAGATAGATGATAGATGATAGATGAGATAGATAGATAGATAGATAGATAGATAGAGATAGATAGATGATAGATGATAGATAGATAGATAGATAGATGATAGATAGATAGATAGATAGATATAGATAGATGATAGATGATAGATGATAGATGATAGATGATAGATGATAGATAGATAGATAGATATAGATATAGATATAGATAGACAGTCAGAGATATAGATAGATGATAGATGATGATGATGATGATAGATAGATAGATCTTGCATCTATCTGTCTGTCCTGCACATTTACTTTCTTACTCTTTTTAGTCCTTGCTTCATTTGAGCCAGGGCTTCTCAGGGTATAACTCCAGAACCTCTTCAATGCTAGCATTTGCATCTGGAAGAAGGAATTAATCCAGGGCTCAGCAGAAGCCTCTTTCCTCCGCATCCTACTGCTTGAGCCTCACTATGCACGCTTCACAGCAGCCACTATTCACAATGGGAGGCTGGTGTGTGCTTCCCATATAATGAACTGTTTGTCCATTTTCTCCCCAGGTTATGCCTGCTGTAGGAATGTCCCAGCTTTCAATATTTCTATTAAAACACCATATCTATGTGCTTGGTTCTCTCCATTTAAAAATAAACAGTTTAGACGAGCAAAAGATATGTAATCTTTGGACACAGTAGGAGTTAGATTTAGCTTTCTATGTACTGGATCACTGATCTGTGAATCTCCAGGTGCTGTTGGACTGCAACTCCCATAAGCCCCAGTCAAGAGCCAATGATGCTGGGAGTTTCACTCCAGCAGCATCTGGAGGGCTGCAGGTTTCCCACTCCCACTTTATAGGATAGTTATGATTGGTGGTTACTTCCCACATCTGTGCTGCTTCTTACTGTCCAGAAAAATTCATTGGCAGAGTGGTCAATGGGCACCACTGCAGACTTGGCCTCCCAGAGGGACAGTGCAGAGGCAGAACAGGAGAGGTGGAGAGAATGGGGCAATGTTGCTATGCCAGCAGAGCCAATAGGGCATTCCCAGCAGTGTGCCTGCACTGCTTGGACCTCACCACCAGCCTGTCCCCATACTGCTGCAAAGCAGTACCACCAACTGCTCCTGAATGCTGATAATAAGCTGCCTGCCATTCTGTGTGACTGTTGACCCGGACCAGGAGTGGCCTGCAAGCAGCCAACCACTTGGTAGCATCACCCATGCCATTCTTGGTAATCTGTGAATATGGCTTCAGTACCATACAGGAGCGAGGGAATAGCTTTTTGTGTTAAGATTATTTGCCATTACACACCCTTTGCTGTTGCCTTTTGCACTTTCTGTGAAAAAAAGAAATCTATGGCTTCCTAAACAGGCCTTTTTCCCAGATTTGCGTTCCTTCTCAAGGGGCCTGCTCACTGAATGAGTTATTTACATCTGCAAAGCAGCCTATTCTGTACATGCACTACTTTCCAACAGGGGAACAGAGGACCTATAATTAACAAGAAGGAAAACCAAGTATTGCATTAGAGAAGTGGGATCACTTTTCTTTATGCCAAAACAGCTATGGCTGGCAAACAGCAAAGGCATAGGCAGGGTCCCTCAAGCAGATGAATTTTCAGCTGGGATCAGAGATGCTACAGGCTTTGGAGAAGTTTTGTTGAGCATCTTGTTAATTAAAAGTTCCCATCGGATAACTGTTGTGCATTCTTATTAAGTGTCTTGCTGAAATGGGCTGGGTGGGACACACAGTTACGACAGCTTAGTTCTCATTTGATTCTTATTCGTAAATATCTGTGAAGATCCCAAAATAGATAGCCCACCATTCCAGTGAAATTTCCACTTTTCATGTCTCCCACAATGATATGCTTCTTAGCTGCCACAACTCGAAAAGCGACAAAGCAGATCCCAGCCATCAAATCTTACCTGAAGGTCGGTGACATCTCTCTGGCTTTACATGGGTGTCACCTCGGGCATCATTAGTCACACAGACATTTCCAGCGAGTCAGACTGAGGCTTTTGTTCTGCATAAGGTTTGTGTGAAAGAAAGCTGATGTGGAAATAGAAAGGATACAATAAGTGGCTGCTTCCGTTGTGAATTCTTGGAACCTTTGCTTGTCGGATTGTATTAGGAACATCAGCTTGTGACAAACAGCTGCTTTTATTCCTTCAGCGTACACTAGAATCGGTCACTTTCACCTCCATGCCCTATCA